TGAACGTGTGATTTCTCTCCAACATGACTAGCCAATATCTTGTTGGAAAACACCTATTGAGCTGCAAGTTCATACAATTCCATTGTAATTACTTGACAATAGATTCAGAGAGCTCAAGATTGTGACATGAGGGTTTTCAGACCCCGATCATTGGCAGAACCGATCGACAACTTTGAAACCGCGAGGTTGGAGTGCACTTGCGTGAGCTATTGAATATGGTATGGATGATGCAACTTGAGTATTCCCTTTCCATTGTTTCCAAAGATCTTCAGTGTTCTTGTGCTTCGATGTCAACGCTTGTGAATCTAAAAGGTCTTGACATTCTGTGCCCTTGCCGCCTCGCAAGATGTGGTTTACGTTCGACTAACAGCAATCATCGATGCTGATGTAAACAACGATGAGTATTGACCTTCTTGAAGAGCTCGCACCATTCTGCATGACAGACTCATCAATTTCGTATGAAATCAACGCATACACAAACGATGCTTGATCGAAAAAGTGTACCCAGTTCATATTTCGTGAATTAATCAAATTGGTAAATCCCCGCGACGCCTCGACCACGCGTGGACCACCAAACTGCATTGATGGTACCAATGCACGGCCGGAAAAAAAATCCATCTCGAAATGCTTCATGTGCAAGAAACTTCCTGCGAAGAAATCATCAATTCTTTTCCAATCTACAACTATTTACACTTTCCAGTCGCAAACATGGCGCAAGGACAGGTTCAAGTACATTTCAGCACCACATCCCCAGATATTGAATTACCTGAAGGAAAACAGCAATTGCTCGTTCCTACCAGTAAGTTTTACTCCAAGTTTCCCTCAGGTCTTCTTGAAGTCTTTTTCAAAACTAACGATCAAATAGATGTACGAAGATATGGACTTTCACAAATTCTCAATTCCGAGGCGATGCTCGATACCTCCTCGCCGATACCATTCGATTTCCTGATCAACGGAACATTCTTGCGAACGACCCTCGATGAATATCTTACTATGAATGGATTATCCTCCGAAACCACATTAAACTTACAATATGTCCGAAGTTTGATTCCTCCTCTTTATGAAGCAAGTTTCGAGCATGATGATTGGGTTAGCAGTGTTGATGTTTTATCTGGTAGTTCTGCTGTAGGAACTTGGTGTAAAAACTCAATTGTCGAAGGACAGGAGCGCATATTGTCAGGTTCTTACGATGGACTTCTCAGAGTTTGGAACAAGTCAGGTCAGGCCATTGCAACATCTGCGCCTGCCAGTGTTGGTGGACATACTTCTGGAGTAAAGGCTGCGAAATGGCTCTCAGCCAGACAAATTGCATCGGCAGGTTTGGATCGCACAATAAGGATATGGAATTATTCTGAATCGGAGGATCATTTCTCAGCGCAATTGAAGCCAACTATGGAATTATATGGTCATACCGGTAGCATTGATTCAATCGCAGTTCATGGACCATCAAATCGCATTTTATCTGCTTCAGCAGATGGACAAATTGGTTTCTGGACTTCACACAAATCTTCGGCACCTGAAGTAAATACCAGTCTTATTTCTGGACCATCTTCCAAACGTCGCAAAATTACAACTTCCACATCCACTCCTCAACGCGGTCCTCTATCTCTCATGGATTGTCACAATGGACCTGCAACTGCCGTCATTTTCAACCCTCAGGATCCTACCGTTGCATATTCAGCTTCTCAAGATCATACCATCAAAACACTCGATATTACCACTTCTAGCATTGTCGATACGAGAACTCTGTTGAATCCCATACTCTCATTAAGCGCTCTACCAGGAATTGGTCATCAAATAATAGCAGCAGGTACAACAGCACGTCACATCGCTCTCATTGATCCTAGAGCTTCGGCTGCTACAACACAAGCCATGACACTTCGTGGACATACCAACTTCGTTTCATCAATATTTGCGGATCCTGATAGCAACTATGGATTAGTATCAGCAGGTCATGATGGAACCTGTAGGGTATGGGATCTTAGAAGTACAAGACAAGGAACGAAAGATGAAGGACATGGTGTTGTTGGAGAGGCAGTTTATATCATTGAAAGAGAAAGTAGGAAAGATAAGACGACTAAGACAGTTGGTGGTGAGGGAGTTAAGGTTTTCGATGTTAATTGGGATAAGGATGTTGGAATTGTTAGTGCTGGTGAAGATAAAATGGTTCAAGTGAATAGGGGAAGAGGTGTTACAAGACCCGAAAATTAGTTTATATACCCTTTTATAATAACCAAGTGGATTTATTCTCGATATAAGATTTTTGATTTGCACAACAGTCTTTGGAATTTTGGAAAGATAATCACGTGAAAACAATTCTGTTTATTTGATGCATGTAATTACGTCTAGACTTTTACGAATTTGTCTACTTTAGAAGAAATCTCTGCATAGCGCATAGCAATTCTCATGTCCAATTTCATATACGCCCTTTTAAACGCTATCACGGCCATGTTACGGCTCTTTCTTGTTTTTAAAATGTTAAATAGGTCGAGATAAAAAAGATCCTTTCCAATTTTAGTCATTAGTCCCATAATTTTTACTTCAAGCGATTGTAAAGATTGGGCTAGTATGGCATCATTTTTTTATCCAATTGTGGTGAAAATCGACCACAGACATCCCGTAGAGTGATCATGTTTATATACCACATCCCAATGACCGCTGAAATCGAAATGATTTTCACTTTGTAAATTCTCATTGATTTGTATTACGCGGGGTCGGTCAACTTTTCGCCCCCAAATATACTTTGTTGAGGTATTGTAGAATCGAATACTCATCTGTGAGATATTCAAAAATGTCACTTCCAGATAGAAAGGATCATATTCAGAATACATCCGATGATGCGGGAAATGATATCCTTCCCATTGACCCCAATAGTGGACTTTCTCGAGGTCTCCAAACTCGTCATTTAAGTATGATGGCATTAGCAGGTAACTACACCCCCCCCAACACCTTCTATATCATCAATCTAACACACCCCAGGAATCATCGGACCCGGTCTTCTCGTCGGTGCAGGTGGTGCCCTCGCATCCGGTGGTCCAGCATCCCTCCTCATCGGCTTCGGAGTCATCGGTCTCATCGCCTTCTCCATCATGCAATCCCTCGGAGAACTCACTACTCTCTATCCCTCCTCCGGCTCCTTCATATCCCTCACATCACGTTTTTTCGACCCCGCCTTCAGCGTCGCCGTCGGCTGGAACTATTTCATCATCTGGGCCGCCGTACTCGCAAATGAATACAACACCCTCTCCTCCATTTTTATCTTCTGGAGCGACAAAGTTCCTCTCTGGGGCTATTTCCTCATTTTCTGGTTTGCCTTTCTCGCCTTCCAATTACTAGGTGTAGCCGCATTCGGCGAAGCGGAATTCTGGCTCGCGTTGTTGAAATTGGGGGGTTTGGTTGCATTTTTTATTTTCTCCATTGTTTATGCGGCGGGGGGTTTAAAGGGTCAGGATCACACGTTGGGGTTCCAGTACTGGCATGATCCGGGGGCGTTTGCAGACGGGTTTCGAGGAGTCGCAAAGGTATTTGTGTTTTGCTCTACTTTTTACGCGGGCTGTGAATCGATTGCCGTTGCGGCGGCCGAGACGCGGAATCCGAAACATGCGGTTCCTCTTGCGATTCGAGAGGTGTTTTGGCGCATTATCTTTATCTATATGGGCTCTGCTCTGTTTTTCGGAATGACCTGTCCGTGGAATGCAGAGGGCGTAGCAAGTGCCGGATCGAAAGCGCTCAGAAGTCCCATGACGGTTGCGATACAAAATGCAGGGTGGGAAGGAGGCGTCCATCTCATCAATGCGTTTATTCTCGCGACGTGCTTGAGCGCGGTGAATAGTTCCATCTACATAGGTTCTCGAACGATATTATTCCTCGCGCAGGAAGGACACGCGCCGAGGTTCTTGAGATTCACGGATCAGAGAGGAGTTCCCATCTATGCGATTGTTTTCACGAATCTTTTCGGCGCGTTGAGTATGATGAATGTTTCTTCCGGGGCGGGAGCCGCTTACAATTATATCGTTAACCTTTCCGGCGTCTCGACGTTTCTTGTTTGGGGCTCAATCTCATTCATTCATATCCGTTTTCGTTCGGCGTGGAAAGCGCAAGGAAGGAGGATTTCTGATTTGCCGTTTATTTCGTTCGCGTATCCGTATAATGCGTATTTTGGATTGGCGGCAAATATCTTTTTGGCATTGGTGCAAGGGTGGACGACTTTGAGTCCTTTTAGTGCGGGGGATTTTGTCGATGCGTATATTTTGTTGGCACTATTTCCATTGATTTGGGTGGGGTATAAACTCTGGTTTCGGACAAAAATTTGGGATTTGAGAGAGATTGATTTGGATGAGGGGAGGAGAGATGATTTAGATCCTACGGAAGCGGGAGAGTTTGAAAGCTTGGAGGATGGAGAGGGGAGTGATGTGGGTAAGAAGGTGCCGTTGTGGAGGAGAATTGTGAAGAATCTTTAAATGTTGATTTGATGTTAATTTGCAATACTTGGTATCAAATTTGCAATTTTGATAGGAGTTCTAAAATTTATCATCATAATCCTTGATGAGATGTAATCTATGGTACACTGGAACTATCACTTCGGTTCACAGCGTCTGGCTAGTTCATTATGTAGTTCGCAAGAAAGCCAGAGTGAGACGTGGTGGAGATTTTGGACCTGCAAAAAACAAGCAAAATAGAAATGCAGAATGTACTGTGTCGTTAAACTGAGCGTCTGTAAAAGAAGAATCCTCGAATGTTGAAACGTGGTATGAAGACCATCCTCCCATCTTGTCGCAATGTGCAGCTCACTCCTCTTCGATATACTCTCAACTCTCGAACTGAAACCCGATATCTCTTGCAAAAGAATAGCCAAAAAGCCAAAGATAAAACCAAAACAGACAATACCCTTGCAGAAGAACAAAAAAATTTTCCTCATAATGACCACACACAATACCACTCTCTAAGGAGATTAAAATACCAAATACATTCACACTCCTTTTAATCCTGTCCTTCTCTACTCATATTCGATGATGGCTCACTCGATGAGCAGCACCACTTGATGAACCTCTAACCATATTCCCAAGACTTCGGTGTGCGGTATGTAGATCGACGAATTTATACTCCTGAACAGAAGTCAGAATGTCCAAGACATTTGAAGCATTAGACTACTCCAGAGATTGAGAACTTACATTTATTCCGCCAGTAATACCCCTTGGGAATCCTGCCTCAAGTATTCAGACTTGCTCTTTTCGAATTGTGCTTTTGCTCTGTTCAGCCTCCTTTCCATTGCCATCGTGGTGGCAATCTTTTGTCGAAAGATGCGAGGTCTTTGGAAATCTTTGAATAGAAGCTTTACACCTTGTGAATACTTACGGCCAAACTCTAGTAGACACTCTCTATTTATCGGAAAATAGCTCTCGAGTTGTTTCTTATAATTATTTTGCACGAGATTAAAGTTGTTTTCGTTTGCTGGATTGTAGGGTTGTTGATAGAATTCGAGAGAGAGGTCAATGTCTTGAACTTCAATGAGGGTCAAAGTAGAGCAGTACTTCTCGCCATGTCGACGATGGACTATGGTAAATACCTCAATATTGTTTTTCCAAAGAACATAGTATATTTGGCGCTCCATATCTGAGTAAGATCTAGACGCATTTCGTTTGAAGGCGGGTGTGCAAACAGCTAAATGTTTGGTTTCTCCAATTTGGCGGTGAAGTGACAATATCTTCAATAGATCAAAACGACTCGAATTTTCGGCGAATAAAATGTCCAAGTACAATATATCGCAATTGTGCATGCATTCAGAAAAAAAGAGAATTCTCGATTGATGGTGGAAACTCCTCCATACTGCGCATGTACGGCATCGTAGGACTCTCGGCAGGCGGACAGTATTGGTATACACAACGGAGAAGCACGAAATTCTCGAGAGTCGTAGATATGATATATACATGGCGCTAAAGATGCCTGTCGCCATATTTTAATCCTGATCTCCAAGGGAAGTTTATTGAAGTGCGGAAATGACTCAGATTCGGCTGGTTCTATTTGTACAATATCATAATACTCTCTAGGTCGATGACTGCGAGTCGTAAGCGATGGTGGTATACATTCTAATTCACACTTGGGGCATTTCAAGTCTAAGGGGTTGTATTGAGCATCGCAATGAACACAGTATATTGAAGCAGGGGAGCAGTTTGACCGAAGGCCAGATTGCTTACTAGCAGATTCGATAACACCGTGTGGATATTGACTATAAGCCATGGTATAAGGAGTTCGTAGAATATAGCCTGTCTTGGGTGATTGAATCAAATGATGAAGAGATGAAACGAAAGAACAGTCTTGAATGAGATAAGAATGTGCCTATGGATATGTTCTTCCCAATTGGTGAAAGCAGCTCGTTTTGTTGGAGTGTTTGAACAGAGGGAAAGAAAGAATGGCCAGGGAACATTGACTACAACACGAAGGTGCCCCTCAGATATGTTCTTCGGAACCAAAGTAGAAAGGAAAAAATTGTTCTGAATATTCGGCAAAAAGCATTAGTAGTGTCCAAAATGTAAGATGACTAGTCATTTCTCTACCTATGCGTTTGACATAGTGTTTGGATTCACTGGAAGAAGTAAAATGATTGACATGCCATAAAGGTATTGATGCAACCAAAAGAAAATACGGCACAAGCCGTGATCACATCCCCGCTCTGTGTAACACAACTCCCACTAAAAATACAGGTAAAGAAAACGCCATTATATGCATGAAGTAGCAATAACGGGTAAGAATTCAAATTGACGGATACCGACTTCAAATTACTCGGTGACCCATTGGAGCTAGACAGCGAAGTCCTCAACGAGATTTGAAGCAGCAGTTTATGGATTTTGGCATGCATCACATTATTAAGCACAAAAATTCAAAGTAGGCTGGTCATTAGACTTTTAGAATACCTGATACATTTAGAAGAAGGGCATCGAAATTGTAATAACAGACACTTGCGCTGAAGACTCCAAAGAAAATTTTGAGAATAATAAACGTCCAGCCGTCACATAATTTCCAAAAAATAGATCATCAAAAACGGATGCTCAAATCACACTACAGGGATGTAAAAGAAAACCAAAGAACGTTGAGCATGTAGTCTGAACATTCAGATTCAACGTCAAAGAGCAAGATACCCATGATAAAACAGTAAATGAGAAATCCCAGGTCCGGAAATGAAATAACAATATTTCCAATAAATTGGAGAGAAATGAAGCGTGAAAGATCCCCCGCTCCTGATACCCAAGCAAAACCGTCATTGAGGGGAGCAAGAGACTGTGTCACCTGCGAATGCTTGGTATACCCTTATATTGCAAGCAATTTATTACTCTTCATGTAGTCGGCCTTCTTCACTTCGAATGCTACTTTGGCTCGTTCAAGCTTTGCTTTCATTGATGTAGTTGTAACGATCATGTTTCTGATGACCGGCATCTCGTACTTTGGTGCTTTATGGTTCGTATTACGGTATTCATCCAAAGCATCAAATTTGATCGATGCTAGGCTTCGAAGCTGCGCAGCATATTCTTGTTGTGTGGATTGAAAAGACTCCTCAAGCTTCGGTTCGTACGGGCTTTTGTAGAAATTTAGAGAAGCGTCGATATCTTGAAGGTCAATGAATGAGAGATCATCATATCTATCAGGTGCATAGGCATGTGCATTAAATGGGTAACGGCGAGTGACGAGTTTAAGTTCCTCAAGACTTCCTGCGTCAACTAGGTAATCATCAAGAAACACTTCAAGGACTTCCGAGTCTTGAGAGTCCCACCACACTTCCGTGTCGTAATTCTTATCAAGGGCAATTGCCGGAAGAGGATTGGCAAATACAGCTAAGTGTTTTAAATTCTCGACCCCAGGTAGCCCACGATAAAAAGTTTCGCTGTGACCAATATACAAGGTGTCGATGTCAAAGTTGAACCAAGTTGTGAAGGGTGACTCTAGCGAATCGAAAGCCTGGGTATATCTCGTAGACGCAACATTGAATGACTCACGACAGACATACAGGGCTGTGATTGGACTCGATGATTCAAAAATAAAGTCTGGGGCATCTGAAACTTCATGCAATCCAATAACCCAGGTCGGTCGAAGAAGCACAACCCGTGGCCCAGGTAAAGATGCTTGCCAAATCATAACCCTAATCTCGAGCGGCAGTTTCATGAAACAAGTGAACGTGGCCCCGTCATCAAAGTCGTCATCGTAGTAATTCGCAGGTCTTCGAGGACGGATAGAACTCTCGTATTGAGGTAGTGCGCAATTTGGACATTTCGGAACCAAGATCTCATATTCAGCGTCGCAGTGCATGCAATATACAGCATGAATATTGACATTTGACCTTAAGCTACGTTGCTTAGGCAAACCAGGGTTGGGAGGCTTCGATTTTTTTGGCATGATCGAAGTATAAACAAGACTGACTGTGTGATTTGATGCGATTCTGTGCGAGTTTGTGTGATTCTGCGAAGCACCATTTTAAGATGCCAGTAAAATATATCCCGAGCTCTACGACCGCGCTACAGCCCAACTTTATAATTAGAAGAAACCAACAACAAATTTGAAGCAAAAGAGTCTAGCGGAATTGTCATAGCAATTCCCCGCTGTGTGTAACAATGACCCTCAAACGAAAAGACAAACGCTCTGCGAATGTTTGGTGGCGCTTTATGTCAAGGTAGGACACATAATGCATGTAATCCTTGCACTTTGTATGGTATGGCTGAATTGAGAAAGAATAGGCATGCTACTGACTTTCATTATCTGCTGGGTGAGGACATATTGCCAACTAAGCATATCTCAAGAAGCAACTCATAATTTACTCCTGTGGCTCGAGACCCCGAGTTGACTGTCTTTATGTGTGACTTGACCATTTGGACAAATCGATTAGAGAGCGATATGAGTATCATTTTCTAATATCATGTAGAATAATACATATTTTGGTATCGGGTTTCATGATTGAAGTGTGAAAAGTTGCATTATTAACACTTTTCCGGGGTTGAGAAAGACGAGTACATGCACGCAACACGCGCTAGCGCTACAGCATCACGTGTATATATAACTTCATATCACAACAAACTGCTAGAAAGGTAATTTGAGGAGGGAAAAAAGAAGAAAGCCTTCTAGTTTCATCTAGGAAAAACATGATTCCCGAATCTATGTCATTGGATATGAGCAGGAGGAATGTAAGTCACGTGGACTGTTCTGTATAACACTTCATATGGATTTTTGAACTTAAACCGTTTTTTGAATCTAAAATTCACTTTCTAATTCTTCAATACAATCTATTTTTAGTATTATTTAGTTTTAGTTTTATATTTATATCAGATAGTTTTTATAAAATAATATTATAAATATAAATAGAATTATCTAATATTAATAAATAACAATTTTTTATTTAATGAATAATTAATAGAATAAATAATAAAGAATCTATAGTATTTTATATAGATTTTGTAATTCAAAATAATTTTTGAATTTTATATTTACAATCTAAACTTTGAAATCTTTGAAATCTATATAAATTATATTATATAAAAAAAGTATAAAAAGTATATTATAACATAACTTATGGTGAACCGGGTCATATGGGGAACCGGGTCACAAAATTCAATTCTCTCTATGTGATCTTATTCTACAAGCTACATATTCATCCAATTCCAATTCTAAATTACTTGAATTATTCTCTAGCTCTTCTTCTTCAGTTTCTTTTTCTAATTCTTCAATTGAATATTTATATAGTTATTCTTATAGCTTTTTCTCCTTAGGTTTTTCCTTTGCCTTATATATCATTTTCAGTACTTTCTTATTATTAAAAACAAATTGATTTTGTAATTTGATTCTTTTGCTTTTAGTTCTTTTCTTTCAAGTCTCAATTATTTCCTAAATATTAGCAAACTGTTTTCAAAATAAAGTTATCTTAGTATTTTGAGATTCTATAAGTCTAATTATTCTTTTAGTGTCACGGATCGTACCCAATCACAGCTGCGATCGCTCATATGCACACTTGCGCACATGCACGATCACATGTACATAGCTAGTATATAGAAATACTTTACAAATACTTTACTCCTAATTCTATAATTATAGATTTTAAGAATAAATTGTACCCTACTCTTGTAGTTTTTTTAAGGCAAAGTGTCATATTATTTATAACTTATTATACAATTATACAGCTATTTAATAATTAATTAAATAATATTTTATAACCATAATACCTTTTTGAGTATATCAAGAATATTCGATATTATTTATAGAAAAAGAACTAATTCCAAATAAATCTATTTAATAGAAAATAATAAATCCTTAATATATAGAATTACAAATATTGCTATTATATCTAATTCATTTATCTCAAAAAAACTCTATCATTTTTCTTCTCTCATCAGCCAAATATTTCTAATCAATAATAGTTAATTTTAATAGAGCGATAGTTATAATCCTTATAATTCTAATATAAATATTAATAAACATAAAAAGAATAAACAATCTAAAAATAACTCCTTAATTAAGATATTAATTCTTAAAAATAATATATTAATATATATTCTCTTATTATAGAAAGAATAAATACTAATTTTTAAAGACTTTAAGAATTTGTAAAACAAAATTATAAAATTTAAAAACAAATTATTATAGTATAGTCTTAATATCACTTATTTATTTCAATTTTCAAAATATCGATAGTAATATTATATAGATTCTCTTATAAATCGCGGAATCTGAATTTCTAATATTCTAATTGATTTTATTAAAAAAGCATCTTTTATTATTGGAAAAAGAAAGAATAAAAAAAATCTCTATTTGCAAAATCAATCTTCATAATAATCCTTTTCGAATACTGATAGCAGATTCCTTTCAAACTCAATCACTCTATCAAGCAACCTATAAATTCATTGAATATTCTATTTTTGTTTATTTATTATTGTAGTAAAATATTTGTATATTCCAAAGCCCATCAATCTTTCATTTAAATTCAAAAATAATATAAAGTCAAAAGTAAGTCTCTAGTAGTTATTAATTATTAAACAACTCGAACTTTACAAAAATTCACTTATTTCGAAAGCGCAATAGTGATTTTATGTAATAGATCAGATGGAAAAAAAGGTACAAAAATATATATTCTCATTGTATACTTAAGTTCCCCATTTGATAGAATAATAATTAATTAATCAGCTTATAGCTATTTACAAGAATTCTATTAAAGCCAATTATATATAAACTAAGTATAAATACTAAATTATATCTAATAACATTTAATAAAAAAACTTTCTAATATAATATTACAGATTTAGATTATTAGCTATACAAACAGAAATTATTAATTCAATAACTCTTCTTTGCAATTTAAAAAGAAAAATATTCGATTTTCTTCAATAAGCTATTAGTCTTTATATTAATAAATGTTATATTGTTGAAAATCTAATTATTAAGTTTATTGAGATTGATAAACTCAAAATTATACTTTAAGAATATAATTATTATAAAATAATTAAAGAAATATCTTTTAAAAAATCGTTTAGTAATATTAATTCATCAATTACCTCTAAAAGCACTTTCTGCTTATTGGGTAATTCGAATCTATTTATTCAGTTTTATATTCAATATCCTTTTCATATTTCTATTAACTATATAGGAATCTTCAAATCAAATAATATTCCATTTTTAAAAAACAATTTCAATTATAATACTATTATCTTTATATTGGGAATGAATTATAGTTTTATATTATATATAGGTAATATAAACATTATAATCAAGATTCAAGAGATTGGAGAAGATGAAGAGTTTTACGATATAGAAGAAAATGCCAAAAAGAATATAAACCAAGAAGTGTAAGCAAAAGCTATCAAATTTATTCGCATTACCAAAAATCAACATTTAAATCAATACGTTTAGATAGAAGTTCTTTTCTAAATATAATCCGGAATATAAGATTCTTCAATTTAATAAAACTAATAGAAAGTAATTCTATAAACCTATTATATATATTTTCGAAAAACGGATATTTATATAATATTCAATCTCTTATAGATTTTGAAGCAAATAGCTTTGCTTTTATTAATAAAACACTTCTTTCATTATTATTCCCTATATTCAAACCCCGCTTCATATTATTCGAATTATTGATTGAAGTTAAAAGCTATAATAGTATATAAAATGAAGTTATTATTTATTTTACATTTTTTAATTTTATAATTAATACTCAATAATAATTTTATTTGCTATTTCTCATTATTAATTTGAATTCATATAATATAATTCTAGATTGTAAATAGTTAGTAAAGATTTGAGTTAAAGTTGATTGTTTTAATTAATATTTCGAATAGTCTCCCAAATATTCTTCTATTATTTCTTTATCAAAAAATATATTTTTAACTAGAAATAATCTTCAACAATTCAGAATTAGTTATTTAAAATAAAAAGATACTAATAATCGGAATACTTGATTGAAAGAGATATACTATCAACTTGATAATAGACAATTGATTATAATATCGATTATACCTGAAATACTTATTATTCTTTTCTAAGAAATTAATATAATAATCTCAAATACAATTGAAATTCAGGTTTTAGTCAATCTAAAAAAGAAATCTATTTTTGATCAAATCTCTATTCAGTTTATTTATAAATTCCTTCTACTTTGTATTTTCAATACATTTGATATTTATACACTCAAATTAACTCAATTTCAATTTATCTATAAGAGAAATAAGGATTATAAGATCTTTATAATTATATATATAGAGATTAACAATATCATTTCGATTTACAAATCTAATCAAAATAATAATCATCAAATCTCAATTATAGTTATTGCCTTAAATAATTCTAAACCAGAAACTATTACTATTCTCAATCGTATTATTACAAATATCGAAACAGAATCTCCAATCCCCAAAGTTTACCAGCAATATCATTAAGCATTCTTTAAATGCAAATCCAATATTCTACCTCTCTTTTGATTATATAATTATAAGATTATATTTGAAGAAAAAAATAAAAAAGCTTTTAAATACAGTTCTCTATATAAAATATTGCTCGAATAGCTTAAGGTTATTAAAGAATATATTACAGAGAATTTTATTAAAGGATTTATAAAATCCAGTCAAGCATTATTCATAATGCTGATTCTTTTTGTAAAAAAGCTAAATAGAAGCTTAAGGTTTTATATAGACTTCTGACTATTCAATTCTTTAATATACAAAAACAGATACCCTTTATCTTTTATTAATAAGATATTTACACGACTCACTAATTATTTATTTATTTATTTATATTAATTAACGTCTGTTTTGGACCTCCCTAAGGGTATTTAGACATGCTAAGATAAGGAACTATTTGAGCAGCGTGATCATCGCAACCGAATTTAGCAATTTAACTTCAATACCAAGGACTAT